AAAGCTGGTATGGGCAGGGGGTAACCAGGAAGTGACAGACACCGTGGTCGCTGGGCCGGGGGTGTCCTGGAGGCACCGAGAAGCTGAAGCGCTGCAGGAGGCAGGTGAAGAAGAGGAAGAGCTCCATGCGGGCCAGGGGCTCCCCGAGGCACGCCCGGCGGCCTGTGTGTGGGCAAGGGGGGATCAGTGAGCCTGGGTCCTGGGCTCCACCCTCCCAAGACTCCCAGGAAGGGGGCAGGGGGTGGGGCAGCCCACAGGCACCTGCTGAGAAGGGCATGAAGGCCTCGGGCTTCACAAAGCGGCCCTGAGAGTCCAGGAAGTGTTCGGGGTGGAAGCGGAAGGGCTTCTCCCAGACCGCCTCGTCCTTCAGCACTGATGACAGGTTGGTGAAGAGTGTTGTCCCCTGGGAAAGAGATGCCTGGCCTGAGTGGTGACTGGGAGCATAGTATGCCCGGACTCCTGCCACCAAAGCATGTGCCACCAATGGGGCACATGCTCTGCCTGGCACTCATCCGAGCCCTATCAAGGACCCTGGGCCTCTGGAGCTTCTCCTAACTCTCTGACCCGGAGGCAGGGCTGAGTCACGCATCCCATGGGCGCCCTCCCCACCACCTACCCCTGCAGAGACAGAACCTCTGGGGAAAGTTCTGCTTTGTTTTCTCCCTGGACTGGGGCTCCGAGCAGTCAGGCCCACCCTGCTCCTGTCTGCAGCCCACACCCAGGCTGGGCAGGCTCTCCCCGTGGAAGCTAGGACGGGTGACCTGTGTTCCCAGCCTGGCCCAAGCCACAGTCCTACCTTGGGGATGAGGAAGCCCTTCACTTCGATGTCACGGGACGTCATGTGGGGCACCCCCATGGGGATGATGTCCGCGAAGCGCTGCACCTCGTGAATCACAGCAGTCGTGTAGGGCATGTGGGCCTGGTCACCCATTTCTGGTCTCCGCACCTGCCCTATCACTTCGTCAATCTCCTGTTGGACACGGCCTGGACAGACAAGTGTCCCACAAGGGTCAGAACGCGGCAGCTGGACCCTGACTCTCTCCTGAGTCCTGTGCTGGGGGCTGGGCCACCTGAGAAGAAGGTCACTCTTACAGAGCGTGGCTCCGGCTGTGCTTGGGTCTCGAGTGTCAGAATGAAGCTCAGGGGCCCCTGCCTGTACCTCTCCTCCCTCGGCCGCCCCACCAGACCGCAGCCGGGCTCACGCTGCACATCCGGGTGCAGGATCATGAGCAGCAGGGCCCAGGCCAGTGTGGTCGAGGAGGTCTCCATCCCAGCGGAGAACAGGTCAGCCACCACCAGGCGCAGGTTATCATCGTTGAAGCTGCTCTCGGGGTTCCCCTTGGCCTGACCGGGCAGAGAGGGTGGGGTCAGGGGGCAGAGGAGGAAGCCCCCAAATGACCCTCCATGCTGCACCTGTCAGCCCTGCTGCTAGGGTGGTGCACCAGCTCCATCCTGCCTGGCCTCGCCTTACTCCTTAGGGATCCCAGTAGCCGCAGCCCTTGTCCTTGTCTCTGTCAGTGGCCCTCACCTTCTCCACCTCGGCCAGGAAGGCATCAGTCAGGTCTCGGGGTGGCTGGGCCGGGTCCCGTGTCATCCTGTGCTCGGTCACCAGCTCATCCAGCAGGGCCATGAAAGCCTTCTGGGCAGAGATCACCTTGCCAGCCAGCCATGGGATGCGCAGGAGCACTGGGAGAGCCATCACCACCTGTGCCAGTCACACAACGGGGTCTGGGTCCCTCCTGTGCTCAGCATTCACTCGCACCAGTCTCCAAACCCAAAAGGATGCACCACCTGCCTGTCCCCACCATTGTCCTGGTCCCTCCCCACATGGGAGTCTCCACACTGTCTCCTGGCCCTGGGCTGACACAAGGACACCCTAAGATGGAAATCTCATGGGCTTGTTGGTTCCCGATATTTCCTGGAAGCCCGGCCTCCTTTGCCCTCTCTGGTGTCCCACCACCCTGGGTACACCTCTCCTATTAGCCTTGTCTGAGATTTCCTGCCTCCTCCCTGCTCTGTCTCTTGCAGTGGGCTCTCCAGGAATGCCCTTTCCCTGGCCTCTGTGTGCAACCATCCTCCATGGAGGCTCAGCTGCAGGTGGAGGCACCTGCAGGGAGCTAGCTCTGCACAGACTCCCGCTGCCCCTATCGACCCCACACACACCTGCATCAGGTAGCCAGAGTGCTGCTGACTTCGCTCCGTCACCAATTCCATTAGCCTGAGGAAGCGCTGGTCGTCGTACTCGAAGCGGCGCCCGTAGGTGAGGGACGCGATCACGTTGCCCACCGCTTTGTTCAGCAGCGCGTTGGGGCTAAAGGGCTGTGCTGGGGCGGCATGCGGGTCAGGGAGGCTGCTCTTCTCCGGCCGGCCCCACCTCCCGGGTCGACCCTGCCCCTGCCCCGGTCTCTTACCAGCGTGTTCGGCGAAGGCGGCACAGAGGCAGGCGGCCTCCTCGATCACCCACAGCTCCAGCGACTTCTTGCCCAGACCGAAGAAGCGCAGAGTGGACAAGGAGAAGCGCCGCTGCTCGCGCCACGCGGGCCCGTAACGCGCCATGATCACCCCTGGGGGCGGGGCAGGGGAGGGTGGGCGTGGCCCG